TTTTTATCAAGGTCATATGAATTTGGCTAGAACTGTTATGGAACAAGGTGCACGAAGTGATCGTCCTGTAGGTGAACATCCATCTCGTCAATGGTCATCTGAAACTAGTACTAAAATTTTACCTGAAATGCTAAAATGTCCTATTCATATAGCAATTGAACGAGGACATATTAAAATAGTTGATCTCTTCGTTCGACAATCCATATTATGTACACAAATACGAGATCCTATAACAAATTATTTACCTTTTGAATTAGCAGATTCTTATTTATTATCAGCAACAACTAAAGAAGAAAAACAACGTTATAGTGAAATTCATTACTATTTAAAAGATAAACAATATAATTTAAAAATACCATTAAATGCTACTGGTGAATATGTTACAAATTTATTATCATCAGCAACTAGTGCTAATGCAGTTCATCAGATGTCAATGTTTTTTAAATATGTTTCATTACCATTTTATTGTAAAATTATAAGGTAAAACAAAAATCTTAATTATTAATCTATGATGTAAAAATCTTGGCACATAATTTTCTCATATTTTTCGGTCATTAAAAGACAACTGATTAGAGCAAGCAGCTATTTGTAAATTTTGTCAAAAAAAGTCAAAAATTGTGTCCGTACAAAGCAAAATAACAGTTTAGACGTAGTCTTTAGTTTTTGTCTTGGAACAACTTCAACTTAACATTATTGTAGAGTAATGAATTCTATATACAATGAGATGTTACAATAAGCGAAATGTTTCCAAAATTTTAAAATTTGTTATACAAGATAAAATAGAAAAATAAATAGTACGATTTGTAGAGCAAATTTTGCTCTAAAAAAAACCGGCGAGAGAAGTCCCTCAACTGATTAATTGCTTTTAAATGGGACTTTGTGTATCATAATGAGTTATGAATATCCCGAAAAGAGTTCATAGCCATACAAACAACAAAAATATCTGAAAGTTTAGCAATAAATTATTCTCGTTGAGATTTATTTCTATGCATGAGAGGCACCACAACATTTATTTTAGATCTTCAATTTTGTTTTCTAGTTGGTATGAACGAGCACGTGAACGAGCATGGAAAAAATATGGTGGACGTTTTTATACACCAACACAAACAAAACGTGTCTATCCTGAAACAGGTTTACTTGGTTATAAAGTATTAATTGATGGTTATAATAATAAATTTGAAGTACCAATAGAACAACTTCGAGGTGCACGTTCTACAATTTTATCAAAATCTGATCAATTTAATCGTTATATTGGTTTTAGTGATGAAGAAAGAGAAAAAATAATTCATATGAAAGCACATATGAAACAATTTGCATTAGATGAACGACAACGTGCTAAACAAATAGCTACTCAAAATCTTAAACAATCACGTCGACCACCATTATTATTATCTCAAATATCAACAGATGTAAATAAACATCCAACA